CATGTCTCTCCAGCTTAGAGACAAATTGTAGACATTTAGACAAATGTCCAGTTTAGACACAAGTATAGTGCGTGTCAGGAAATTCAGGCCATCAGCAGTGAACCATTTACCTGAGAAGCAAAAAAGCCACTTGAGCCAGAAGCAAAAGCCTCTGCAGAGCAGCAGTTCCTTTCAGTTCATAGATTTTTTTTTGCTGAAATGCTTTGATACGCTGGTAAAATACGCCTGGTACTTCTGGGAAGTCCCTAAAGCCCTAGGAAGGATACGTTCATAAAGAAACACTTCTCCAGATAAGAAAGGAGGTCGGGCAAAGAATGTAGCTTCGCTCAAGAAACTCCAGCTTACCTTTCACAGATCAATCCCTGCAATTTGTGAGGCTCAGATCAGTTTCGGCTCTAACACTTAGGAGAAATTTCTCCTATGCCCAGAAAGCCTAACAGTTTTTAAGTTCCTTTACCCTGTACAAGGAACCCCAAATCTGCAGACATTAGGCTAACGTCTGTCAGTTAGTCCAGGTGGTCTCTAGGTGAGTTCAGAGTAAACCCTCCAACTGTTACAACCCAGAGGGGAACTTACCAGGCTATGGCCGGGGAGCGTACCCCGGTCGTTTCAAATACGACTGTTACCAACCGGCACAGGTGCAGGTACACCTTCTTGGCTGGTCTGGGGCTCAGCCACTACCCAAAGGGATAACCCTACGCCTTTCTCTTCTCCCCTCTCCCTACCACGCACCGAACTCCGGCCCTGCTGGACACAAGGCACAGGTTTTCTGATCCTAAAGCCAGAACAGCTATCACGACCAAGAGAGGATGCAACTTGCAACTTCCAGAGCACTCCTGGAGCAGGCTCATCTGCAGGAATTTAATGTCTAGTTGGGCCACAGGGAAGTGCGGAGAATGATCCAGGGAAGGTACTGCTGAGTGGCACTGCAGGGTCTCTGCCACGTCCTGAAAGAATTCGGCCTCTCCCGGGATAACCAGGCCAAATCTTTACAGCGTAGCAGGAGGGAGCTGCAGCTGCGCAGGGGGAAACCTCAGCTTCCTGAGGCAGCAGCACAGGCCGTGTCCCCGGGAGGAAATAACTACGCTGACAAGCAGGAAGCTGCCCTAGAAATGAGCAGTCAACTGTGAAACCACCTGTACAGCACAGAGGTTTCAGAAAGAGAAGAGCACGGGGGTGCAGGGAGCAGCCCAGAATGCTGCTGACGAGGGGCTGCTCTTGCTCTCTCTAGCCTCGGGGGCTAGAGAGAGCGCTGAACTCAGTGTTACTATCCTTCCCAAGGACCACACACTAGCAATGAAGGGAGAAGGGGGTTGCAAGTCAAGGATTTTCGTTTCATAGCAATCGGAGCATCTTCACAAGGTCAATGTGAAAAATCGCCCCTCTTACCCAAGGTCAGGAACAAAACTTGCATGACCATCCGAACTCCAGGAAGAGCCAAGATCAGATTTCCTTGTGCTGACTAAGCAGTGCCATTCTGGTATTCCGAGTTACAACTTGTTAAATGTTCCAGGGATCGGTGAAAACAGGAGTACGCTTTTTTTGGTGGGTGTTTTTTGTCAGGATAAGTGTGGTCCTTGGTTCACAGTTTGCTAAATCAATAACCAGGCTAGGTTCTCACAAGAAATTCATCACACGTTAATCATTTGCTGGTAATCCACTGAAGCAGATCCCTTCCTGTCCTGGTCTTCTGGAAGGAACAGCTCTAGAGAACTTTGTCTGGTGATGGCCCAGGAAAGTACACACCATGCAGCGAAGCCATGGATACAATTAAGAAAAGTATTTGAGTCACACGGATTAAAATGCCAAGCAAGGTACGCGGCCAGTCCTGCTGCTGACAGGAACAATGCCAAACCTTCACTATCTACTCAGAAGACATTGGGAATATGTTAAAAGTACGTCAAAGTTCAGGATGGCAGAGGGCTTTGGATCCTGTCAACTCAATACTTCCTAAACACATCAGCAGCTAGATTTTGCTTCCGGATCTGTATTTTTACAGGTTTTCTAAAAATATAAGTTACTGAGGTTTGGATTAGGTCTCTACCAGGCCAAGTAGCCCACTTGGCAACTACCGTTTTCACAAATCAGCTCCTTAGGTGGTTTCAGAAATGACTCCCGCACACAGCCACACTGACAACCCTCGTTCCAAGAGGCACAGCGCCAGCAAGCCCGATACAATCCGCCTGTAGATTTCCAAGACAGATCTTCACAAACAATGGTTCCTGGGAAGGGCTGGCTGTGACTCAAGTAACGTATAATCACTGGGATACGGCTACAACCAGCGCTTCCTTCAAAAACCTCATCACACTTTTAAGGGAAGTGTTAGGGTACAAGGGTAACTCCAAGTTGCGCCCATAACCACGGACAAAACAAAACGTTCATTCACTCCTTTTCCACATCCCGCTCTATTCCTTTCGGTCAGCCTGTGAACTTGATTTATGAAAGAAGTAGAAAAGGGGCTGCTTTTCCTCTCTACAAAAGGGCAGGGCTAACTAACAGAATCAATGGCAATCCTTTTCTTGGACTCAGAAAAGGTAGGATGTCAACACATAACGGATATTGAATAGATGTAAAAAGAAAACCAAAGGAGTCCCTTAAATTCGCTGTATTTACGCTCCTGTCAGTGTCATCGCTCAGCCTGAACAGAGCCTTCACCTCGCAGCAAGTTTACACAGCGAGGAATAAGCACCAGCTCTGTTAAAAAAAAAAAAAAAAAAGCGCCTCTGGAAAGAGGCACAGATGTTGTATTTTCCCCCGTGGACAGCCATCCCATTTGTAATGGGGTACAAAATGACTTTTCTGCTACATCTGCAGGAGGAAGAAAAGATCATGACTAGAACAGGCCCTGGAAAATGGATTCTCCACATTAAACACTCTCCATAATTAGCTACTGTATTCTGGCCAGACTCCCTAGCTCTTTGCAAAGTCCCCAGTCGCTTATCGACACTAACTTGCTGCTTCTTTGCAAAACAGCTGAACGTGTGCCAAGCTTCATGAAACAGCAGAACGAAGCCTGACACACCAACCTCACGTGCAGCCTCCAGGAACTACTCCGGCGCCACGAACAGCTCGCCCGTTTCTCACCTTCAGGTAGCAGTACGGGTTATTTAAAGCTGTATGAAGCGCCATCCTGGGGGCAGCGTTCAGGTGCTCCCGGAGAGCGCTGGCTGTGTTGAAATACAGTATCTCATGCAGGGTCTTCCAGTCTGCAGGGATGAGGTAAGTTCTGAAAAAGCGAGAGGAGGTACAGGGGAAGGAGGGGAGATACAAGCGTTACCTTACGGGAAAGGACAAGGTCTGTTGCAGTCACAGAGTACAAGAGTGTACGTTTCCCAACCCGTACCGACAGATCTTGGAAAAAAACAAGATGAACAGCACTGAAATCAGCTTTTAGGCTGGGGAGACAGTTATTAGCCACTCTACATCTAACGCATTTGGCACTACAGCTGGGCCACTGCCACATTCTAAAACAAGAGCCACACCTGAAGCGTGAACACCGGTCACGTACTCTAACCCACAGGTCTTGCTTATCCACCTTGAGGCCTCCTGATGAGCCTCTGCTCACCTTTGTCTTCATGTCTGAGGCTTTTTGCTTGGCACAGTCATGCTTCTGTTAGCTTCTCTGCCCCCAGTAAGGCTCTACAATTAACAAGCGCCTTCATCTCCTCCTCAGCCCAAGCCTTTCACATTTCCTGCCACAGAGCTGCCTCCAAAACCCTATCTGCTATGCCCTGCTCACCAAAAAAAGTTCCCAACATGGGCAGGATATCACAGTTGATATCTATACAGTTTCATAAGTCAAACAGATCAGCAAAGATTAGGGTAAAAAAACTCTTAACTTTGTTTTGCCCCTTATACCCAGTCCTTCCTCAAATTTTCCATAGCCAAATAAGTTGGTCAATTCACATGCCAATTTCTTCTACTAATCTATGGGAAAGAGATTTATTTTTTTTTTTTAATTACTATTTTTAGAGCCCACATCCAAGAATGAATAAGAAGGGGGGAGGGAAAAAAGAAAGCATGCTTTGTACCACAGGGTCCCAAGACACTAACTAGACAAGATGAACGTGTTAGCAGAATTCCTGTTGCAACTTCCGAGGCGAAGCAGCAGGGGAGTATAAGAGAGGAAAGCTCACCTCACCAGATTGTCTATACAGTCAACAACTTCCAACCGAAGCATTTCAAACTTGGTCAGCTTCTTAGAGCGCCTGGACTCACTCAGCTCCAACAAGGCCTTTGGAAAGAAAGCGGTGCATGAAACCATGGGGGAGGCAGTTACTCTCCGCAGAACACAACATACGGCGAATTAATTTTTGCTGGCCTGTCCTCGCTGAAAGAGCCATTGTGCAGGTATTTTTACTTAGGCCAGTGTAATCAGTTCTCAAACTGGTAGGAGTTTGGGAAATTCAAAGAAACATGTGTTAGGCAGAACATGTAATTTACAAGTTAAGTAAGAAGAAACCCCCTAATTTGCATTTTGAAATCCTAATTTACGACAGATGTTTTCTATAATTTTCCATGCGTCAGGTGGGCCTGACATGCATAGCTGGTACTTATTAATTCATTTTTTCAGAAGAGTTACTTATGCACAACCCTTACTCAGAGCTCCAGCGAGCTGGGAAGAACTACCCGTGGTGAATTACATCTTAAAAGATTCAGTTAAGGAACCAATCAATAAAGCCTATGCAGGCCTAACCTTCTGAAGATGATAAAGGTCTGTCTTCTTCTGGAGCTCCTTTTGTGATGATACGGACTCATCTTGTTCTTGGCAAGCTTCTGCTACTAGAACAAAACTCATGTTTGATATGTGGGGTAAACTTTTCCTGGCTACCTACATAAACCCCCTAACCCAAGCGATCCGAGAAGCGTTGTTACTCCTTCACATGCACCCAAACACGGGCAGCGTTGGAGTCTCGCGCCGTGGAAGAGGTTGTTAACGAAGGAGCCTGCAGTGCAGCTTAACCAACAGTCACTAAGTCACCCAAGCAATTCAGCCCTGAGCAGAGATCCAGCACAAGCCTTGCACATCACTTCTGGGTTATACACACCATCTCATTCTGGGTCATACGTATCATTCTGGGTCATACCCTCAACATCTGTAAGCTGGACAGATTAGTACTAGATACAGCTGGGGAGGGTTCAAAAAGCCACACACTGCACGTTTTCCTGTAAAGAAACACTAAGAAACGCACTCTCCCGACTTAACCCAGAAACTGCAACCAGAGCAGCAAATCAGAAGTGTCCTAACGTATGTCGTGATTCAGTTCTATTCTCATCTTAATTTACAATAAGGTTTTGTTTCCATGTAAGTTCGTCTATCAGTTGCGCCAATAATTAGTAACTTTTAGGTAAAAACAAAGCAGCAGAAATTCCCAAAGCGCAATCAGTGCCAGGATGAGTGATGATGAAAATCAAAACCAGAGGTAACTAGGCTTCTTGCCTTACTTATGAGGATGGCAACAAGACGGAGATTCCACCATCACAGGCAAAGCGCCAACCAGCAGTGACACCCATGATACATAAAAGCCTTGTGGTGACCTACATAGAATGAGCTGGTGTTTCCCAGTGCCCTGTGGACATTTGTATTTGTGTTGAAGACTTCACCACAGAGAACTTCCTCTCTCCACTATTACACCCATATATTTTGAGATTGTTTATTTTTCATCACAGAATGGTTTGGGTGGGAAGGTTCCTTAGTCCCACCCCCCCTGCCATGGGCAGGGACACCTTCCCCTAGACCAGGTTGCTCAAAGCCCCATCCAGCCTGGCCTTGAACACTTCCAGGGATGGGGCATCCACAGCTTCTCTGGGCAACCTGTTCCAGTGCCTCACCACCCTCTCCGGGAAGAATTTCTTCCTGATATCTAATCTAAACGTCCTCACTTTCAATTTAAACCCGTTACCCCCTCTCCTGTCACTACAGGCCCTTAATCAAATCCTTCAGCTCAAAACATACTGAACATAAGGATATTTTGTTCCCTTAAGCTTCGTATTTTATTTTTCTAGCTCATCAGTAGTCGGGAAGATAGACTTTGTTGTTATTAAAAAAACCCAGTAAATTTGGACCATCCTTTCCCTCGAAGGCTCTGTGGGAGATTTGGTTACATAGAGTTTTGGGAGACTTCTGAAAACTCCTGCTGAAAAACACCATCACAGAAATATAGGAAGAAGTCACCTAAATCAGCAACCTGTTCATGTAAATCTATCTTAACTTCCCCTTTGCACTTCTTCAGGACAGCTTAAATCCACTTTGAAAACAACCTCAAGATCATTCATGGATTCATTAGATGTTCTCTGCTCTAAAATCATCTTCAGTGAAAATCAATACTGCCCTTTTTGTTTTATAGTTCTGCATGTCCCTGAATTGATAATTTGTTTTTAACTTATTCCCTCAAAGTAAAAACCCAACTACTTAAAAGCCTTTTTCCTTCAATTCTTTTTTTCCAAACTAGATGAACGTTTAGGTTTTGCATTGTAGTTCAGATCCTTCAGTGCCACACATGGCTTTTTCAAAGTGATCACCTCTGCCCTGTACCACATCCCTGCTATTACATCTGTTGAAAAATACATGGTACAGGCAAGAGCCAATTCTTCTAAAGAATCCTGAGTTAAGCCTGGAGCCTTACACAACAACTTTAATTTAATTAGACTGCATTTGGTGGCTTACTGCCTCCTTCCCCAAATGCTGGGTAGCAATCAGATAATGAACTTCAATTAATATACATAAACCAGGCCATATGATGATAATGACTTCATCTTCAAAAAGGGAATCATAGGGGAGCACTTCTCCGTAGTTCAGGGGAAGCAACAAAATTCCCGTTTCAGAAGAATGCTGGGGAAGCAACAAAATTCCCGTTTCAGAAGAATGCTGGAATATGGCATGTTCCTATTTCAGAAGGAACAGGGCCGTTTCTCTTAACCTGCCTCTGAAAGACAAAGGCTGCTGCTACCCATTTGCCACACTAAACTCCCAAACACACCCTCTGCCAGGAACACACAGATAGAGGGGCCCGAGTGGCCCTGACAACTGCCGCTCGGTGTCCCAGCTCTCACACCAGTTTAACTGAAGGTGCAGGTGAAAGAACCTTCCATACCTTTGGAACACAGCATGTCATAAGGAAGTCTGCCCCTATTCATCTTTCACTGCCCGGTTTTATTTGGTAACTGACTTTAACAATTGCAACATCTGGTAAAACGCTCACAATGTATGTATGACAGATTTAGTGAGTCATGTTTGCTCATCTCTCCAGTTTCTTATCTGACATCGCTCTTCCCTAGTATAAAAGCATGAAGCACATGCCAATAAAAAAATAGAAGCATTTCCTAATTTTATGCATGTATTTAAAAAAAAAAAAAACAATCCTGAAAAATCTGATGGTTTGATACAGTGACAGGGTATCACCAGGGAAAATGATACCCACTGGTCAGATTATAAAGACAGCTTTCACATAATCTGTAATGGAATGTATACACACCCACCTTCCAGTTTCTGAAATTGGGTCAAGAAATGCTTCAACTTCTCTACCGCCTGATCAAACTCCTTTCCAGAAGATGACACAAAAATTTCCACACACTCTTGAAGCATGGTTACCAAATCAGACTTATTCAACATCCTAAAAGACACAATTGTTGGCTGAAGTTGAAATGAAGAATGATGAAACAGCTTTCAACATTCTTAGTTGAAAAAAAAAAAAGTTTTAAAATAAGTTGAAAACCTCCTTTTGTAAGAGAAAACCTCCAAGATTTCAACCACTCTGTCTTGCAGAAAAGTCAGTCTTTTTCCTTGCTGTCATTAACAGAAAGAAACAAATCAACTTGCAGAGATGTCCTTCACGTTTTCCTGCAGAACTGACAATGAAGCTTTTCTGATGTTCTACCTAAAAATGCTTGCTGGATAGTTAAAATTTTTGAAACCGAGTCAGATTTAAAAAAAAAAAAAAAAATACGGTAGAGTTCATAACACATTCCCAAGACTGGGAAATGAAACAGGAAAAAACCCCTCAGATCAGTATGTATTCACACATCCACAAAACCCACTGCTCTCTGTGGCTCAATGATCCTCAACCAAACCCAGAAGTGCTGTTGGCTGTATTTAGTTGTGCTAAACCTGGCTGCCACTAGAATCGCAGAATCACGTAGGTTGGAAAAGACCTCCTGAGATCACCTAGATGACCTAGCCCAACTTTCAGTCTAGCATTTATTGCTTTTAATTACGTATTAGGGCATTCTATAAGTGTCAGCAAGCACTGCTCAGGCTCAGAATCTTCATTTAAAAGGTACCAAAGCAAGTCCTTAAAACAGCCATAAATGAAACCCTGAATTAGCCGTGGCATCACACCAGTACCATCACCCTGCACGTAAGGTTTTTCACCCGGTTCCCATTGCTAAACACTCTGGTTCTGAGCAATGGCACCTTTGTAACATCCACTGTGCCTAGGAGCCCTTCCCGGCCTATTCCTGTGGTTTTGCTTTGTCTGACACAAAACAAAGGTGCTGATACAAAAATGCAAACCAAAGGTGCTAACAGTTCAAGGATTTTGGAAGACAAAAAAACCACAGCTACACCAAAAAAAGGAGCATGACAAAAGACTTAAATGATGGTGATGGTGCGTCAGGCAGGGGGTCTCCATATCAGCTACCTAAACACTGAGGAAGAGAGATTTAAGGAAGAATTTAGAAGAGGCTGGGGAAGCGTTATGGATGTCTGGAGGGGCAACTGCAATTTCAGCTTCAGATTCTAACTGGCAGCTGATGTTAAATGCTTGTAAAGGCTGGAATTTGGAACTTCTGTTTATCTGGTTCAGGGCTGCCGATTTTTTGCAAGCCAGGTGTTGCCTTCAGATGCACGTTTGGTACAGAAAAGCATGGGGAGTTAACAACAGAAAGGGTGACCCTGACCACACCACAAAAGGCCAGAAAACATTTTGAAACCGCTTTGCAGGATATAATGTGTAAAGAAAATAGCCTCCTTCTGGGCCAGACACAACACTGCAATGATTGAACACCTAAGATCCAGAGAGGATAACCGGATCTGGAGACCTGTGTGTGGGAAAGAACAAATTTTAGTAACATTATTCAAAAAGAAACTTCAAGTTCTAGAAGAACTTGTGACAACAATGGGACTATGGGACCCAAAGAACAGGCCAGAGGATGGCTATCACACATCGGGAAACAAAGGATCCTTTTCAACCTTTTGGGTTCGAGACTACTGCAAGGTATGCCGGGTATCAGAGTGGGGTTAAGATTTTAAGTCAGCTAGGAGACAGGCTTTAAGCAGCAAGGCAGATCTCTGATCATAAATCTGCCTCTCATTATTCAGAGGAGTTACAAAAGAGCAGACAGGAAGGTAGGATGAAGTCCGCAGAAACTCCTGAATGCTGAAGTGGGCAATGATCTGAAGGAGACATGAACACAGCCTGGTCAACAACAAACTGACAACGGTCTCGGAAGGGCAGGACTGGGACAACCAGTGACGAATGGCATCAGTGATCAGCAGACTAAACCAGAGTGCAGTATCTAGACAGAAGATATTCCACACAGTTCTGCCCCCTAAAAGCTTGACGAGATGTCCCAGCTAGTTGGTTGCCCATAACCAACCAAGTGAGACACTCTCCAACATCTCAATCTTCTCTCTCTTCTGACTGGATTAATCCACTGTGAACTAAAGCCCACACACTCTCCCTGTCTCTCCATGGTATTTTTTTTAGACTCTAGACAACTAGATTGAAGTAGAGTAACTATTGCCTAGACTGCTAAAGTTCACCTGAAACACCGTCTTTGGGGAGAGCACTTCTAGCACAAGGGATAATGCCCGTCCAAGGAAAAGCTGAAGTAGAGAAACAATCAACCGACCACAAAAGGAACTCAATGCAACAGCTGAAAACCCCACATTCAAACAGAATTCCTGAAGGGCAAGAGACAGACTTTGTTACAACCTGAGAAATAAGCTGATCAAAACCACCTCTATTTTTTTTACTTTCTAAATACAAGGGAAAAAAGCTGGACTCCAGAAAAATAACCACTGAAAAGAAGAACAAGGGATGGGAAAGGGCAAACAAAGACATCAGCAGGTGGCAGGGCCCCTGGGGGAAGGCAGAGACATTAAGGAACAGTGAACAATTCCCATACCTGAGCAAAGGGGGGAGGGAGGGAGAAGACTGTCAGTAAAAGGGGAAAGATCACGTTACCATTTTCTTCTAGATGACAGCAGTAAGATTCTATGCCGAAAAATCAGTGACAAGAGGACGTATGTGTAAAATGGAAAACAGTAAAAGGAAAAGTTAAAAGCTGAAAAAATAATCATCACAGTATTCGCAGCATTCCAAGTATTTGAAGGAATTGTGTTGAAGGGATTTTGTTAGACAAATGACAGAATTCCTGGATTAGAGGAAGAAGAAAGCATGTTCTATGAAAGGAATGATAGTGATCACTGTAATTCTATCCGAAGCTCCCACAATGGCAGCCAGCACCAGAGTCAGAACAGCAGGGAGATGAACAGGTAACAATAAAGGGGGAGCAAGCCAGAGTCTGAGGGCAGCATCAACTTGGAGATAGGAGAAGAGGCAGGTGAATTCAGAGCAGAATAAAGAAAATTAAACTTGGGAGGAGAAAAAGGAGAGGAAAAAATGGTCAGGAGTCAGAGATTACAGAACAGAAGGTACAGGAAAGCAAAATGACACATGTGTGGTCAAGGGCTGATGGGTGATTGAGCGCTGTCAAGATTCAGGAGAGTCAGAGAAGGAGTAAGAAGGAAAGACTGCAGAAATGCCAAACCAAGCATGTAATCCTTTCAAAGGGATGAGGGTAAAGAACATAATGCAGTGGTGATGAGCAAGAAATGCTCACTACGGCAAAGGTGCAGTTTGATGAGCGTGTTTCCTTGTGTGCGAGCCCAGGAACTTACCCTCCACCCAGCAACTGACATGGTTTTTCTAAGCAATTTTACTGTCAGACACGTCAAACCTCACAAGCTCAGAGGTTCTTGAAGGGGCAGTTACGTCAACGGCGTTGCACCAGCTCCTTGTGCAACAGAACCGATGCATTATTTGCATGAATGGAGCTATCGGGAAACAGCCACTTGATAAAGCACATTGAAAAGTCTGCAGCTGCAATGTTGCAACTGAAGGGTTTTTAATTAAGAACATTGGCTTGGATGACTTTTTCCATTTTAAACACTGACAGACAACACAAGTGTAGGCTCTCCTGAAGTCCTAAGATCACAATAACAACACAATTAACTCACTCCCTCTACAAACATAAACAAAGGAGACAGAGGGAAAGTAGTAAAATAAAGGCCTCAGCCACTTACTTGGAACAGATTCTAATTTTCACAACAGATTAAAACTTAGGACAACAAAAACTAAACACTTGGTTGATAATATCTAACACCATCATACTTTAAAAGACAAAACCCAAGTGATGTTCTCATTCACACACAGTAATGTCAGTAGTTTCAGCATAATTACTCAGGGCATGAGAGACACTAGAACCTGGCTGAGTTTCATGGAAAATGGTAGAAAGAAAAAATAAAACCAGCAGTCAATTATACTTGCAAACAATCCTACAGCTAGCTGTGAACAGGTAATATCCCCAGCTTTAAGTTGCAGAATAACTGATGACTGGTATCCTGCACGTGTACAGTGGTACAAAAACAACATGGGGAAAAAAATAAATTAAAAAAAAAATCACCGTGCTAGCTGAAGAGATGACTCATACTCCTCCGTTTCCCACACTCTGTTTTCCAAACATGCGCAGTGCAGCTCCCTGATCTGTTATGCAGAAGGTGAAGAAAAGATGAAGTATTAGTATTTTACAAAGTAATTCAGAACTCTTACATCAAGCTTTTCAAAGCAATATGTAATTCCTTTGCAGCTTGTTTGCCAGAGATGTAGAATGACTGCAAAAGAAACGAGAGCATTTGGTATATTACAGAGCTAAGCTCCTAGATGACTTGTGCCAGAGTCTCTGTGTGTTGCTTTGCACCAGGTTTCAGACAACTACATTCAACTGAAGGTAAATGCAGAGAACAGAGAGGAACTCCAGGCAGATGTCCCAGCTAGAACAGCTTTTTATTATCATAGAATCACAGAATGGTTTGGGCTGGAAGGGCCCTTAAAGCCCATCTAGTTCCACCCCCCCTGCCATGGGCAGGGACACCTTCCACTAGACCAGGTTGCTCAAAGCCTCATCCAGCCTGGCCTTGAACACTTCCAGGGATGGGGCATCCACAGCTTCTCTGGGCAACCTGTTCTAGTGCTTCACCACTCTCTGCAGGAAGAGCTTCTTCCTGATATCTAATCTAAACCTCCCTGCTTTCAATTTAATCCCATTACCCCTTGTCCTGTCACTACAGGCCCTTGTAAAAAGTCCCCCCCAGCTTCCTTGTAGCCCCTTCAGGTACTGGAAGGTGCTATAAGGTCTCTCTGGAGTCTTCTCTTCTCCAGGCTGAACAAGCCCAACGCTCTCAGCCTGTCCCCATAGCAGAGCTGCTCCAGCCCTCTGAGCATCTTCGTGGCCTCCTCTGGACTCATTCCAACATATTCTCAATTACTGGGACAGTTCATGCTGATTCTGCAGTCAGGGACCGATCCCAGTAACAGTGCAGAATACACTGAGAACCAACAGACAAGTGCACATGCACAGAATATATTGCTCTTCTAGTGGAAGAGGAAATGGCTTAGCATGAGGAGGTAGATTTAATGGCATTAGAGCAATATGGCTATTAAGAGCATTTATCACTGTTCCTTTACTACCTTTTAGTTCAGGCCAGGAGGTGGCTAAAACTCAGTCTCTCCATCTGAATCTGACTAGCAAGCTAATAGGTGGTAGAAGAGTGTACAATGGTGCAATGCACACAGATAATCCCAGATATGGGAAGCCCGTGCATGGATTCTCATACTGATCTGTGCATCTGCCTCCTCCTGGAAATTCCTTCTCCTTGACTGATCCCACGCCACTCAAGAAACCACATGCTGTTGCCCCCTGCCCACAGCAAGAAAGCATCTGTCTCCATTTTAAGAAGCAGGGAGCAAAGCAGCAGAATAGTAAACAAAGGGAAGGAATAAATACTTACTCAGATGTCATACTTCGCAACAGAAAAATCCACGTTTCACTAAAATGGAGCAACAGTGCATCCTCACCTGCTTGCCCAAAGGATACTTTGGAAGAGAAGATGTGAAAACATGAAGACATCTCAGAACTGTAACATAATTTTCATGGTAAACATGCAAGCTGTCCAGCAACTTCTTTGTTGTTTCCTACAGTGACAGAATAATTGTTTCATAAATCATTCTGACATCCACTTATTTAAAACTCTCACAAGTACTTAAAATGACTCGAAAGTGGCATGCTGATTTAAATCACCAGTGTTAAATTAAGATCCCTGTGCAGAACAGCTGTATTTCAACCACTGACTGCTATCGCACTGCGTACTGCTAACTTCACTTTCTTCCTCCATCTCGCTGGAGAATTGTTATTGAGGAGCATTATTCTTTTACCGTTTTCAACTATATTTCGCCTTTAGATTAGGTATGTCATCTCGCAAAAACAAGACTATGCACTACACCTTTAACAGGCAATGAGAAATCATAGAGCTATTTTCATGCAAATATATAAAAACGCAAATAATAAGTGACACATGTATCTAAAAATGTATTTCTTATATTGAGGATGACATAAAAGTTAAGTATACATAAAAAGACCAGTTCACAGAAAACAAGAAAGACGCAGTTGCTGCTCCTATGTGCTCTTAATATGAGTTCTGTTTATTCAGGGTTTGAGAGCTGCAGGAAAAAAAGAATTATGTGTTTGGAAAAAGAAATTATTGACTGCTGCCACCGAATTTACTGGATGGCATCTCGTTATCACTGGCCTCCCATGGAAGCGTAGGTAACACTCCCGGAAAAGCGTACTCTAAATTTCCAGTAGCCACACTGAAGTACTTTGGGCTCATTACATTTAAGTTTGTTAATCAGAAGATCTTCTCCCACCTGTCTTCAGTCAAAGATAAAGAGGACAAAATCACAGGCTTCTCTAAATATTTTACTGCAATCTTGCTCAACCCTTCGAGCAAATTAATCCAAATGGAAAGAGAGAAATAAAACAAGCCACTGAAGTTTTCCAAAGTTAAACTGAAAGAAAAGGTATCAAGGACTGAAAAAAAAAAAAAGGCAAAAATCATAGAATCACAGAATGGTTTGGGTTGGAAGGGACCTTAAAGACCATCTAGTTCCAACCCCCTGCCATGGGCAGGGACACCTTCCACTAGAAGGAAGTTATCTGCAGTCAGAATACGGAAGTACTGACATGTGCAAAGGTTAAGTGTTGTACTGCAAAGACTGAAAGCAACAAAGACACTTGGTGGTACAGAGAGCTTTCTGATGCTAAAAACGTTCAAGATGATTAAAAACATTAGAAGACATTCGTCTCCACAGATTTTTTATTTATTAAAATACATAACTGATGTAACAATTGTTTAAATTTCTTCCAGGACCTTAGGGTAGACACTCACAAGTTTGTGTTTTAATTCTAAGTAGGTTCCATTTAAAAAAACCCATACCTACCACAAAAAAAAAAAGAGAAAGAAAACAAACTGCCTTTAATGCTGTCACATTAATCTTATTTCCCCAGCCACAGAGCATTACAGCATCTCTATTTCCCTCATCCTGTTTCCCAGCTCGAGACAGACGTAGTTCATATACACACATTGCCATGCAGCAGGGCTATTTATTCTGCCAAATCATGGAGTGAAAAGGCATATTCTGTTTTAGAAGAGTTTAAAAACTTTATTAGACTAGGCAATGTTCTTTCTATAAATACAAATCGTCAAATGAAATTTACCATGAAAACTTTCAGGCAGAGTTGTAAGTAATTAAGATGTAAAATTGCTTTTAAAACTGATTCTTCTAAATAGGTGGAACTCTTCCCACAGTTATTAAAAAAAGGTGGTATCAAAAAGGAATATAAATTGCAGCTGACAGAGGGTATTGCTGGTTTAGGTGCTAAGCTTCAACAGCAAGTTCACCTAGTCCTGAACATAAACAGTAAATGAATAGAAGGAAGTACCAGACTTTCAAAGTGTTTCCCAAGTTCAGAATGGTACTGTCGATTAGTATGACATACAGAATAAACAGCACCTCATTAATGCAGCAGCAGGGCCTTTTCTCCCCAGATACACCACACTGCCAGCTTGGCAGTGCGATAACAGTCCTACCCCTATTGCAGGGATTAGAGCAAGCGTCTTCAGTTAGTTTGTCAGAAGCAGCATATGCACAAGAATTTCAGCTTCTTTCCCAACCTTAAGGGGTGAGGCTTGTGAAATAAAGAGTGTATTACTAAACATAAAAGTTTAAAATGTATTAAGCTTATGAGTATTCAACTTTCAAAGTGGCAGCCCATTACATGGTCTTTAAATCTTCCACAAAGAAAACAGTCTCTCAGCTGCTCATTCCCACTCCTTCCCTCCTCCTGCTTCAACAGAAGCATCTATGCACCTGCAGAGTGGAGATCATTCTGCAGAAACAACGCAGAAAAACCTAAAAAAGCCATGTCTTGTCCTTTTCTTTTGGCCAGGTTACATTAGTTGGATTGTTTCTCTGATTACACTCATTGCACAGCCACACAAGGAGTTGTGCTGGCACATCTGCTGAGGTGTGAATAAAGAGCAAGGGAACAGCAGCTTAGGCTGGTTTTGCCACTGAAGACTGTGGATCATAAAATAACGTATAAATCACGTCTCACCCTGACTACTGTAATTGCACTGCACTTACAGACTTGCCTGCTACCAACTGCCCTTCCAGCCATTAACATCGCTCTTCACACCTGAAGAGTCCTTACGGCCCAGGAAGGCCTGCTAGGATAAATTAATTGCTTTATCTCTAGGACTCCCAGTTGCCTGACAGGTTAGTTACACTTGAGATGGAGAGTGAGGAGAAAACCTTTACCCCGAGCGATGCTTCTACAGGGAACAGTTCAGCTAGTGAAAATAACCAACAGATCTTTGTTGGCAAATTCCTAAAGGTCTCACAAAGTAGCAGCCTGACTTTAATCACCTGACAAACCTTCCGATAAACACGTAACATTTCAAGTTTTAATCCTGTAAGGCTCCCAGTGTGAATGTGTACCTCGGGACCCAGGCTGCCCTACTGGGTTCAGTCCGAAACTGCACAGGGGGCACGGAGGATTAAGAGTTTATGAAATAACCTCCAAGATTACTTACCCATTCTTCAAACACTTCACTGACTCCAAATAAGTATTAAAAGACCAGGCCATAAATAAACCTTGTAACCTTCTCTTTAAGCAGCTATATTTTTAGACAAAGGTAAAAGTTGATGTAAGTAAAGTTGTGCAGCTTTGTATAAAAGTATACCTGGTAAACCTAGATATTTGTAATTTTGAACTGATGATCCTTACTCTTCATCGCTGGACACAGAATCATAGCATCACAGAATGGTTTGGGTTGGAAGGGACCTTAAAGATCATCTAGTTCCAACCCCCCTGCCATGGGCAGGGACACCTTCCACTAGACCAGGCCGCTCAAAGCACGACACGAAGCACGGTGGGTACTGTATGAAAGATGGAACTGTACATCTTAGTCTTGTATTTTATTATGCTCCACAAACTAATAAACTGGAAAAGTTATTTTTGCTCTCCCCAGACATTTTTAAAATTTTACCTTTAAGACATTGTCTTCTGTCAGCAGTGCAATCTGTTTCTCTGATGCTTGATTTTCCACATACCTGATGGCAAGAAAAACCAAGAACATAAAAATTAGAATGTAAAGTATGAAAAAAGATTATAGGGTTAAAAAAATTAAAAAAACTTATGCTGCTATAAGGATTTATTTGGAAAGAGTCAAAAAGGGACAGTCAAATCCACCAAACAAAGACCACTCCCAAACCTTCAAGATTATGCTCTGGGTCAGCTTAACAAGTTCTGAAGTAATTTATGGCTATTTGTCATAATAGCTTGTTTGTGTATTAAGAATAAGAAAAAGTTCAAGTGGTTACACATGACAGAAGCTGTACTCTCTAGATCAGAAGATGAAGGCTTCCTGAAATTTAGAACTGTCTTCCTTTTGATCGATTTACCTTTGCTATAGAAACGTATATACAAGTCATCTACAGATCCCTTTTATCTTTTTTTAAAGCTGACTAAATGCAAGATTATTAAAAAATGTATTTCTCCCTTTTACCTTCTAAAAGAGGGCAGTCTTCGAATGTTTTCACACTGACCATGGGATAAAGAATTCACTCTTTATGGCAACACAGTATACTAAGAGGCTGGGAATAGAAGTGCTCTACAATACAGAGCTGAAAAACAAAGCAAGAACCAGTGATGCTAATAGAATTCATCCTCGCTGCTGTAGCTACCTTTCAATGCTTTCTTATTATACAGTGCATACACTACAATGACAGTAATGGCATTCCTAATTCATTACAGTTCATAAACATTCTGTAAGCCAACACAGTATACTAAGAGGCTGGGAATAGAAGTGCTCTACAATACAGAGCTGAAAAACAAAGCAAGAACCAGTGATGCTAATAGAATTCATCCTCGCTGCTGTAGCTACCTTTCAATGCTTTCTTATTATACAGTGCATACACTACAATGACAGTAATGGCATTCCTAATTCATTACAGTTCATAAACATTCTGTAAGCCACTACAGGGCACCGATTGTTGTCTTAAACACAGTCACATAATTACCTTTTTTGTCGTATGCACTATCATAATTCAGCATCTCATCCTTCCCTCTTACAAAATGATAACTATAGCTTGTCAAATATTTTCCAATCACTTATGTGAATTACTGGATTCTTTAGGTTACATACTCTGCTCCAACGCTCACAAATGACAAAGTATATTTAAAGATACAAGAAGCAACCACTCTACACAAGCAAACTTATCGCACGCCCTGATTTCAGTTTCCTGTACACAAAAATACAGTGCTAAGCTCTTACCATGCACGCGTGCAAACACACTTTATTAGTGACTTCAGCTACGCTAAACATTGGTAGCATCAGGGCCCTGCCTGGAGTAGCCTACACTCATCCCATCTATTGTTACAAACAAAATAACCCCCCAGTCGAACAGACTGCACCTCACTAAATACTTTCAAAACATGAAAATTGTCAAAGGAGAAAGATACTTCCTGTCAGAAAAGGTAACATCATTCCTAGACATAACGAGATGATGGTGACCCCTTGTATCTATCACTCAGGAAATCTGATCTGAAATTGCTTCTTCCTTGAACACTTTCACCAGACATGGACACAGCCATGCGCTGTCAGGGCTAGGACTTGTATTTTCACAACAAGCCAAAGAAGCAGCATTAAATCCTGGTGACTCTTTAAATTTGAGGAGTTGAAACCCTACAAAAGCACCCACAGGTCTGTCTACTGAGGTGCTACAGACAGGGTATCTCTCCTGCCCATGAATAATCACTGAATCTTAGCTACCAAAGAATCTGAGGCACTCTAAAGGCATATGACACTAAGAGGGCATGAAAGAAAACAATTTCACAATCCTGCATTAAAACAGATTACCGGGACTACAAATTCTTTGGAGAACTTGTCTGCAGTCCACAAAAGAAGACTTAGACACAGAAATACATCTAGATACAGAGATCTGTATAACCCAATAAAAATGTAATTATCATGCTCTGTGTAGGCTATTTTTGGAAACCTTGAAGTCTTCCACTTTGTCTCCCAAGAGGGAAAATGTAACTCCTGCAGTGCTGCTTGGAGCACAAGCAACACCACTGCGGCACAGAGTAGAGTGACCCTACAGCTCCTATTTCCCCGGAGAGGTACGGAGCGTGCAGCCATAAACTGTGCCAGCAGAGTTCAAGCGGGGAAGAGACACTGCTGTAGACTTCTCACACCATGGCAAATCAGAGTACAAGGGTCTGGTACAGTGCATCACTGCTGGAGAATTTTGCCAGGGGTGTTAGAAACTACAAGTTAATCTATAGGTCTTTCTACCCACTGAAGCAGGCTACCCTTTTAACTGTAACCTTTAAATACAGGTTTTTGTGCCAGGGTAAGCTTCTACATGCTTCTTCATACCTGTCCGACGAGTTTTCCCTTAAAACCTTAGCAGGTAAGGTTTTAAAACACCCACCTGTTCACAGACCTAAACCATTTCCAAAGGTAATTTTTCCATTCAGTTCAGTGACAGCAAGATTAGGACCTAAGAAATCTTTCAGTGCCCAGTAATTACCCTTTGTTTTCGTAACCTTAATTTGAGTTCTTGTTACCATTGCCTACCTGAAATCCTTTGATAAAATTCTGGACAGAAAAATCATGGTACAAGAATATGTTGATGAGAACCTGCAGAACTTTCTCACCCAGTTTAAAGGGAAAATGGGGTGACAGAATCAGCTATGGGAGACAAAAAGGAACAAGCAGCCATGAGAGAAATTATTCCGAGAATTCAACTCAGCAAATTTATAAATACAATTCAATACAACACTCAGTACGTGAGATACTAAATACACTCCCATAGTAGTATATTTCTACTAAACTGCCACAGTAGTATATTTCTACTAAAATATCCATGCAAACAGTTTATTTCACCACATTTTGCTAAGTACCTCTTACTAATAGACAGCATTTGAGGTTAGTTTTGCGTAACACTGCTTTTGTATTTGTGTTTAAAATTGCTAACAACAGAACAGAGGTTGCAGTAACAGCCAGGGAGACCATCGCCTTCAGCAGGTGTAACAGGGATTCCGGAAATCCTGCACAAAGCTGTGTACCAAGAATCGCACAGGCACAGCATCCATGTGGCCTGACCACTGGGATAACTCCGCTGATTTCTGACGGGCAGCAAAATTCAGGCTGAACTGAACTTTTCTGTTTAAAGCTACCTTCTTCTGGAACAAAGTAAAATTGAAATCAAAGCACTACTTCCATGAAGAGGTGGGAATGCCAAAATGTATTGTCCAATTATGTATGCACAGATGTCGATGCAAATGAAAGATGAAAGCAGATGCGTGAGCGCGCCTCTATGTGACAAGGAAGCTGTCAGTATTAAGCTACTCTGTGGCTATGAGTAGAAATATCCCAAATCCACAGCTCTCAGGAACAGATTCCACTTCAAAAGCTTCACACAAACCTATTTTTACAGACCACACATGCTCACTATGGTGGAATACACACACACTCCAATTTAGAAAGGGAATTACCTTGTCAATTATAGTAGACAGGTGCTCTTTACAGGAAAGGGTCTGGAAAAGCTCTATGCACAGCAGAGAGGAAACAGAGTGAGGAAGTAAGCTGTGGATAATCATTGGAGACGTAGCGATTCCAAAAATCAGTACTAGAGGTAATTCACAGATATGCTGACTAGATCATGGGGGAAAAAAACCAACAAAATACAAAGTTACATTATAGAAAATCATGAAACAAACACATCACGTTCCTACTACAGCATTGAGCTTAGATGCAGGAAGAAGGTAAATTAAAAGATTTGTTGCCAGTAAACCAAAAGAGATTTGATGTGGGGCAAAATGAAAAAGAAAGGAAGCTATTTAAAGTCATAAAGTGGAAAAGCAAATTAAATCATATTTTAGAATTCAGATTTCGGGAAGTGGTATAAAAAGCATCTTTTCAATTAGAGTGTTGTATGGGTCCTATCTTCCCAAAAAAAGTTGGATTTGAGAACTGAATCTTATGCTATAAATTCTTTTCAAAAGATACAGAAAAATTAAGAAGAGACATTAAACAGCTAACAGTCTCAAGCAAATGTAGAAATTTTACACCATTTAATATATTTAAAATAAATATGCCCCCCCATAACGTTCTATGTTCCTACTATACTTAAAAAAAGAATTCCAGCACCTCCAGATTCAATCTTCCTCTCCAGATATTTTTTTAGTATATGCTTTGAGAAGTGATAACCCAGACTGATGCTGTATTCTTTGTCAGTGGCATACAAATAATACAAAATGCACTGTTTTCAGCATAATTTCAACATTGTTTTCCATTTTTATTAGTTCTAAGGAGATACAAATTCTGCTTTTTATCATAAATACCTTCTAGGTTAAAACTGACAATGCATTCCTTTCCTCTGTTTTCACCATAGCAACTTTCTGACCTTTGTGTTCTGTTATCTCACAGTTATTTCATCCCTCTAACTCCTCAAAAGTCACTGCTAGAGACCTAAAAATAATAAACTTTTCCAAAGTATAATGCAACTCTGCTGAGCTTCTTTTTTACCCATCTTCTACTTTACTTTAATCAAGACAATCGTTAGTGATAAGATCATCTGAATCCTCTAAACCTTTTTTCTGAAGACATAGTCTTTGAAAAAGATGTATTTGCAAAGAGTAGACTGACAGACCTGAACTGCACTTCATCTACATTCCACATGCTCCTAATTAGGTATTTATCCTTGCCACAAAAAGCAAAATAAAACACAACACTTACAAAACAACTAAAACCTCATTTTCCCCTGCCTTACAGCCTACTTATTTCCAGATAATTGTGTATTTGATTTTACTTCTTGAAATGTTCCCCAGAGAACCCACCTGCCGGATCTGAAGTAGAAAACCATTGTTACTGTGGGTGTCTCAGCAAGGGAAATTACCTGGCCTTGTTGAGAGGTGTGCACGCTGCAGCTGAATTAACTGTACAACTGCAGCCCCAGTTCTGCTGCAACTGTAGTTTCAACCTGGGGACTAAGTGCAAGATGCTCTTTTTGGAGAGCAGCATGGGGTTCTTTAATTAGGATGCATGAGATGATAACAAGGTTAAGAGAGGTTAAGGAAGGACAGAAGCACAAGAGCACCTGAGGTAGTCTGCTACTCAGTACAGACCCTGGCCAACCCTGAGAAATTCTGTGGGTAAGTTTTATACGCTCCCATTAATAAGCAACTGACCTTTAAGCAGCATTACATCTGTAGCCATACAAAAAAAAAAAATCTACTCTGAAAGCAATTTTAGAAGTCTACAGAAGGTAGATCTAGGCATCTTAAAAAACAGTTTCACAATCACAAATTCTGTAACAACTAGTAACAATAAATCCTCTTACGCAAATAATTAAATCAGCCAAGCAATATCTCAACCCAGCCCTTAGGCACTCTGGTTCTGAGTCCTAAGTCAGCTATAGGACTATTTATCCCCAAAACCTAGCAAATAGGTTTTTTGCTCAATCACTGCTGCAAAGCAGCATCATCAGTATTTGATTCCAACTCTCCACCAGCCACTTCCAAACAGGTGCAAATAGAATATGGGTAAAGGAGTGGAAGAACGAAACTTCAGGTCACATCACCTGCTGATGAATATGAAGTCCTGAAGTACTTTGGTGGTGAAACTCTCCATGTCTTTGAATATAACTACAACTGGAGGAGATTGACACTCTCTAGAAGAGGAGGTTCTTTTTTTGCTCGGAGTTTCAGAATCTGTTTTCTTTGAAGCCATTCATTATGCATTAATAAACAGAAGACAGGAAAATAAAAAAAGACTGAATCACATCCACAATATTATAATGCTCTGAAGTGACATGACTGACTTCTTGCTACAGCTGTATTTATTATTAGCATCTAGGATTGCAACTTTCCTTCATTCTGTTTGGCACAACATGAAGTTCAAAGAAAAAAACCTAATTTTAAAAACCCACATTCCAACAAACACAAGAACAGCTCTGTGGGACAGAACTAGTGAAATTCTGTTGGGATTGAGGAAGATTTCAGTTGTGCACACGGACGCTGCCCATACCCTGTATCTTTACCCAGTAAGAAAAAGAGCATGTACTCATTAAACTTTTATTTAACACACTGCTCCGATGAAGTCATCATAAGATCAGCTTTTTCATGAAAAAAGTAAAACTTAAAACCTCATTAGGTTTATTAAATACAAAGATACTAAAATATTTTGAGAGTTTTCTCACTGTCTGTCAATGTAGCGTGGGCTGCAGATGACACAATGGCACATTAGCACTGTTACGGTGCCTTTCTGCTGTTCTTTCTGAAAGTTTTATTTCAATAAACAAAGTATCTCAGCACTCCTGGGAGAAAAGCATCTGGCATGAGGTTGATGCTGCATTTCAAGCTTCCAGTTCCAAATTAAATTTATGATAAAATAGTACTTTTTGCTTGGTTTTCAGATTTCTGACATTTATACCTCATCAGAAACCAACTCCGCATTTGTTATATATGTCACAGATTTATATTCCAATCACCTCAATCTCAGTTATTTCTCAGTATTAAATGAAAAGCTAACCTTCAGCATTTTTTCCTCTAGAGCACAGAAATCTGAGTTACTCGATTTCTTTTTTAAAAGCATCTAAAGGTCAGGTATTTTTATAAACTGGTAATTAAAAAAACCCCCATACCTTTGTTGCACTCTTATACCAGTTGATAAGGGAAGCCATTGAATAACGTATTCGATTCTGAGAAACCTGCATGCAGTCCTCATCTTCCAAGTCCACTTCTATATAGCAGTTCATCAGCTGCCCTATCAGCTTCTGCATCAGGTTTTTTATGCCTTCGCAGCACATTTTTAAACACACAGTAAAGACATTTGGTTATTCGTTAACACTTCTCCAACTCATACTCTAAAAAATTAGCCCAAGTTATCGCTTACTATTTTTCACTTTTCTAATTATTCTCCTTCTCTCTCCAGAATGCACAGCTCACACTCCAGAGAGCTTGAAAGTATGTATGATATGCATGTTGTTAATGCAATAGACATTATCCTATTAATTTGCCTTGATAGCAGCAACCCAGGTTAAGATGTTGGCCCTGCCACCTTTCCTGAACTCAGCCACATGCTGACAGAGTGACCTAAATATAAGGCACCCAATCCGTAGATCTGGGGATGCTGTCATAAGTCACTTCAATCTTTTTACTTAGAAAACAAAAAAGCAGCAACAAAAGTGGGACAAAATTTTATTCTACCCATTCCCTCGCTGTAATAACGTGACTGTAAGCATTTAAGAAGTGGAATGCGTACATAGGCTGTACAATTAAACTTGAGGAAAGCCAGCCTACAATAGCAACACGCAGTACACTAAGCAGCGTGCTCTTGACACTTAAGCTACAACTAAGAAGTTGTTTTAAATGGCACTGGATGCCTCTTAAAATACGGTAGGCATGACTGCTATGTTAACATGGGATTGAGCAAGTCTTTAGAAAGTCCTCCACCCTGTTATTATCAAATTTGGAGACAAAGGCTAGAATTTCTACTTAACTGACAGCTTATTCAGATGAAGAAGCAAAGCTATTGCAGTATTTACCTGGGCAATCTTTGGCCTCCAGCAAGGCTATGTAAGGAGTAACGTTACTCTGAAGGACTTCCGAGAGGCTTCTGAAAGTCAAGTCATGGTCTGTAACATTTACACCTAGAAGAAAGACAAATTTTTAAGGGCGTTTTTCCTATGATTTGTGATCACAATGACTGAATAATAAACTGAACAGCTGACAAAACCCAGAAGGTACCTCAAATATTTGTGTGCAAAAAGCCTTGCACCATTTATGAGGAAGAATGAAAAACTCGCACAAGATTAGACATTTTTTTAAGTAGCAGCTGATGAAAAGGAACAGAATCACTGCTAAGATGTTTCATATAGTTCGAGTTTCTTTCTTTAAAAAAGATTTCTCAAGGGTGAAAACCTGCAGAATAGGACTGGTTTTCTAACTTCCCTGCTCCTCATAACCTCACGAGCCATCTCCAGCCTACACACAAGAAGATGAAATTCACCTCCTAGAGAAGAGCAGTGCATGCACCCCAGACCTGGATCCTCATCACATGGCTTATGTAAGGATGAAAGTTACGAGTTAGTATGAACTAGTCTGAACTTACTGTGATCTACTCATTACTTACTGCCTTTGTTGACATCCTTAGACAATGAAAAAAAAACCAGAACAAGCCCCTTCAGAAGGCAATTCACAGCTTCTTTCACAGAAACATTCAGAGCATTAACTTCTCACTTTCTACTGCATAAAAATGTAGACTACCTTCCAGGCTGTGTTAGTGCTCACATGCTAAATTTGAAGCAGAGGCCTGATTTTAGGTTCCCTAAGATGAAAATGCAATCAGGTTGCCTTGAACCAGTGTTAGAGTTACAACCCTTTGAAAGAAAAGAGGGGGGGAAAAAAAACCCAACCAACCAACAATCTACAAACAAACAAGACTTCAGAACCTAGCACTAACTTCAGTAGTAAGATCTTCAGCTATTTTCTTCACCCTCTGCTCCTTTACCAAGACAATGACACTGCTTCCCTAAAAATACACTGCAATAACATATATCAGAAATAAAGCAGTTGTGTAATTCCATGGTTAGTTACAGAACTCACCAAGCATGTTGATGGCAGAAACAGGGACAGAATTAAAGCATCTCCAGTGCACCACAAAAAAACCAAATCACTGCCAGATTCCTACGGCAAAACCTTAGGGAAGGTGTTACCTTACTGCACTATTACACATACAGTGGGGAAGGAGGTCTTTTCCTGCTTCCTTCTCCCAGCCCAATCTCTTCTGTTAACATTTCTGAAGCCAATGTTGCTCACAGTAATTACTGGAAGTCAGCAATATAGAATCATAGAATCGTTTGGATTATATTTTTCTTTGATGTCTCTATCAGTTCTAAGCAGATGTACGTAAGAAAATATATCTTAAAAAAATTACCCAGGACAAGAGCTGCAGTAGGGATTTCTCTGGACTTCATCTGACAAGTCCATTTTGTTGTCTTCTCTTGGAACTCAGAATGAGACCGCCTCAAAAAACCTACTAGGTTATCAAATAATTGCTTATTCAAGTCTTCCTGTATTTTCTGTAAACAAACACAGAGATATTTTTTTAATAAAAATGTAGGAACACCAGAATATTTTCCTTTTCCTGTCCCTTTCCTGCATAATTTTTAATCCTTAAACCTACAGGGTAGAATTTAAAGTAACACTAAGTTTTCCTGTGAACAACAAACATGCCAATTTATTCACTGTGTGGCAAACAGACATTTCCTATCTTGGCCCTTCTGGTTGAATGCCTCAACAATAATTTGGAAAGCAAATGAGCTTAACTGTGTGGTCACAGCACAGACTTTAAGGAAGAATCAAAAAAAAACCCCATACTGACAAAATGTGACATAGGAGGAGTACAACAATATCATTAGCTTCTGGAAGAATATTCAGGGAAATTCCTATTATTCCCTTTTCGCTTACGAAACATCTGCAAACATTTGTCTGAGAAATCTGTATGACAGAAAACATTCAGCTCCTCCGGATCTAATTCAGGATGAAATAAATTAAAAAAAAAAAAAAAGGCATTAAGTATGTTTTGTAGGAAAAAATACTAAACCACATGACTTCCACATTTGCTACGCTGTCTTTTGACGTTCTGGATGATTTTCAGACAGGCATATGTATGCGTAAGAACACATGGAAAGATGAGAGAAAGCAGAGGGACATAAAACTTTTCAAGGCAGATACACAGTGGCAGCATTTTGTATTTCTTTTACTACGTATGTGCCTTTGAACACCTGTCTCTAATCCAAGGTATGCCTTCTCCTATAACAGATGAAAAATTTACTCTTAAGTTCAGGATACCAGTAAACACCCTAGAACATAGATGGTAGAAACAAGATTAAACTCCTGCCCCCAGTAAAATCCCCATCAAGATTTATTAGCAAGAAGTAGTGACGCACACAGCAGTGAATTTGATTTTAAACAAAGCAGCCAAGGCCGTCTCTATCAGCACTGATGATGCAGCTATCAAAGGAGTTAAGGTCACAGCTCCATGAGACTGTACATGAGCCTGCTGAGAAACCAGAGCTCCATTTCCATTTATACAGAAGGGTTCCTGTTGCGCCCCTGAACAGCTGATAAAACTGTACACAAAGAAATCTTACTCTTTTCACCCTCTACTTATTAAAAAAGAAAATTCCTCCGGACTTTGTTGTTGATTTGTGCACCTGATAAACTCTACGGAACTCAGAAGTAACTGCAACATGGCAGTTTAAAAAGAAGAGTTTACACCATCAGCTTCATAAGCTTCATTGTAACAGCTCCTGTATTACCATGCATCTCAATCCTCCAAGCTGCTGCTTCAGAATCCATCAGACCATGAGCTGCTTCTTCTGATTATTGGGTGTTTTCACTACGCTGCCCTAACAAGAAACTAAATCCTTACTTTGCATGGTTACACAGTATGTATTATTTTTTCTGATGCACACTTGCGAAGATGGAATTCAGTCTGCCACAGCACTACAAGTTTACTTCTCTTTCTTAAAATCCATCAGCCTCTTCCTGCCAAAACAACTTTGTTACTGGCACTATTTTGGCAGTGTTCAAGTGCCAGCTCGCTCACTTGCACGACACCAGTTACTCTGGAAAACACTAGGTTTGGTCATGATTATCTGTTGTGTGGTCTGAAAAACCACTATCTGCACATCAGAGATGCTAAGATTACCATCTTACAGCTCTGCACTCAGACTTTTTGTTTCTAGCCTAGACCCTGGCAGTGCAACTGGAATACCTCACCTTACAGGAAGAAACTGTTTCTGAAAGCCCTTGATGACATATATCGTAATAAGAACATTTGCAAGGCCACTGCTGACAGCAGGGATCAAAACTGGGATACCCTGCAATGCTGAAACAAACAGAAGTCCAAAAGTAACCTTCCAAAAATGAGTGACAGTTTCTGTGCTACTTTTGCCAGCTTTTCATGTTGTGAGAAGCCTGAAAGGATGTCATCACCAGATGACCGATGGTGCTGCCACAATTGTACCACAGTTTATGATGGACATACAAAGGTTCCCTGTGCTCTACCAGAGCACTGGGGAAAAGACCAGCACAAGCACACAGTCTGCCAATAAATCATCCGGTAGCAGTATGCTGGCAAAAACTTTGGAGAACATCCTGCTAAGCTCCCTTAGCACACTACCAGAACCATTAGAACATAAGCCCAAACAAACAAGCCACACACTTCCCAGGTATCCTGCCATGGATCAGGTTTACAAGACCAGGGTTTGAAAGTATGTTACAGTCCTGACCAGATGAAGCTGGCACCTACCTGCTCTGAACTCACAGATGCTGCTGCTTTGAGCAGGAGTTCAGACTACAGACTTTCTAAGGTCCCTTCCAACCTGGATTATCTCAGAGTTTTGTATGTAAGAACAATTATCACCTCCAAGTTTGCCAACAGTGGGATAAAAGGGTGGTGAAGCACTGGAACAGGTTGCCCAGAGAAGCTGCGGATGCCCCATCCCTGGAAGTGTTCAAGGCCAGGCTGGATGAGGCTTTGAGCAACCTGGTCTAGTGGAGGGTGTCTCTGCCCATGGCAGGGGGGTTGGAACTAGATGGTCTTTAAGGTCCGTCCCAACCCAAACCATTCTGTGATTCTATGATAAAAGGAAGGTAATTCTAAACTCAATAGGAAAAGGTGTCAGAGACATCCCAGAATCACAGAACTGATGGAACTGTGTTCCATCAGGAGGAAGATGGACAGGAGGAGCTATTTGGCCAACCCCTAGCAGCCTCAAAGAAAACAAGCGTAGGAGATTTAGAACAGGAAAAGAACAACGATTTTGCAGATGGCAGTGGCTCTGTGCTTCTGAGTGGTTAAGTGAGGCTTTGGGCTATGGTGGGTTGTACCTGCTGCTCTGTGAGCAATCTTTGCAGAGCATCAGCAAAAAAAAAAAAACCACAACACCCAACCAAACAATGCTTCTTCAATCCGAAAATCCCGCAGCTACTGTTGGCAGTGTAGAAGCATTGTACAACACTGTGCCAAAGAAAAAAAAAAAATCCAAGAAAAGGTCTTCCAGAAGTAGCCACAGAATGTCATCTTCCCTATCATCCACTGTGCAGCTGACAAGGCAGTTTCTGGTGCAGCTGCCAATGTTGCTGCCAATGCTGGTAGCTAACCCATCAAGGTGAAGCAGTTGGCAGGAAGATACCACATATACGCCCACAAACTTCTGTGTGTTCTCCATAATCAGCACCGCGACGCAGCGCACTGCTTTGCTCAGCCTGGCTCTTTAGGGTTTGAAAGGACGCTGCCCAGTCAAAGGAGAGCTGGATCATGGAATACTAGGAAGAGAGTTAGAGGAATTTACGAGTTTAGCCCAAGGGCTCAGATTGTAAGCTACATCAGCTGGCTACTACTGTACATCCCAAAACAAACTTTGGAAAAAAATTTCTCATAATATCTAGAGTCCAAAAGCAGGCAGAGGAATACGGAGTAATTGCACAGAATCCTTGACACCAAATAGAGATGGAAATCCCTGCTGTAGGGATGCAAGTATTCATACTGTAATACAAGCCAGCTGGCTACAGGGACACAACAACTGCATGTCATCTAACACACAACAATTAGGAGGCCACAGTTCAATTTGGAATTAACTCAGATTCCCCACCAGACAACCCCACCGACACTGTACTAATTCAACAGACCATGCTTTCAACTGTGCCACTTTGCATTTGACATCCATGCAGTTATATTCACAGAAATCCATTGTGAATCCTGGCAGCAGCCTAAAATCCTCAGAGGACTGGCAAGCACGTAACTGAATTGAAGGTAGAAAACAGCAGTATGGCAGGAACTAATAAAAAGGACAATTACTAAGAAGAGAAGCTTAGAAGCAGCAGCTTGAAGCACCAAAAGCATATGGTTGTGTGCTTCGAAGTAATGTGTAATTGATGAATTTATTATTACTATTTTATATTCTGGACAGGGATTCCCATCTTAGTGTTTCTGGCGCTTTCGTTGCTCTAATGCACTGCCCTTTTAAGTGTGTAAAAGAGATGATCTCCAGAAACAACGCAGGGAGCAGCTTTGTTATAAATGCAAAACACTAGTCTTGGGCGCAAGACTCACCTCTGTTTCCGATTTGATCTGATCCCATAAAGACTGACAAGTAGCAAACTGCAACTCAGCATCCTCTGAATCACTGTTTCTTTTGCAGAAATCATAAGCTAGAGAGACAGAAAGCAAAGGCAAGCGCAGACAAGATTAAAACAAACCATTTTTTGTTGAGGGGAAAACTAAGCACCCGACTGAAAAAAGAACATCTTAATATAAGTCTATACCTGAGGGAGATGCTTTTCCTCTTAACCAATTAACTAACTGCTGGTATCTGGTAGAATAAGTGAGGGTAGAAGCAGAATATATTACCCAAGTATGCAGGCAAAACATAAAGAACTGGCTTCGCTCCAAGTCCCAGCTGAGCTAAAGGTTAAATCAGAGGAAACAGCCTTTATTATTAACATAAAATTTAAAAACATATTTCCCTTGCTTCAGAAAGTTTTGTGGGTCTCTTTCACCTATTAAATATTCAATCCTCCTCCTACGAGAGTCAGATATGAACCTTAAAGGCTTGCAAGAACAGATCCATGAAAATCCTTTCTGTTCCCCAGGGAAAATGCAACTAACACCAATTTCCTGAATATAATAAGGTATTCTGGGAAAGGACTGTCAGGTTACATGAAATACAGTTTTATTTATTTTTAAAAAATATATTGAACTGACAAAACTACACCAGCAAAACTTTTAGGCGCAAACCAGGCTTACATTTCTGGCTCGCCTCTAAATTGCCTCTCACTTCTGTACAGGCCCTTTAAGGCAAAGGAAAATCAGGTCCTTTTTGGTAAAACAACGTCTTGACCCATTTTCTTAGTATTTCTGGCTTCCCAGGTGCTGCTCTGCCTCACAGATGAGAGTACGGAAACTCTCCACCAGAAGGAAAGCAACCTGTGGCTTTGAGCAACCTGGTCTAGTGCAAGGGGTCCCTGCCCATGGCAGGGGGGTTGGAACTAGATGATCTTTAAGGTCCCTTCCAACCCAAACCATCCTGTGATTCTATGAAAGACAGAGCTGGGAGTAAAATGGGAGACTGAATAGAAACCAGTATAATTGAGTGAGATTTTTTCTCACTGTTTTTCCTCCCACATTCACTCTGTCTACATTTCCCTTAAAAAAAAAAAAGCCACATGCTTGGAGCCACCCTTCTACTCCCAGCATACATTCAATTGGCCTGGGGTGGCTTTACTAACACCACCTGGAAGAACACAAAGGCTGAAGGTAAAGTAAACAGCCAGTTAATTGTGGCTACAGGGCATCATTAAACATAACAATTGATTTTTCCTAAACATATGCATATAAAAAATTTAATTTGCTACCTATTAATTTCCATTCAATGGAGCATCAACAGTTGTCAGATCTCAAGAAAAGAATCGGGTTTTTACCCTCACAAAAGCAAGTTCGATCTCCCAAAACATTACAAACACTCACAAAAGCTCTGTAAATGAGGAACAAGAGGCATCCCACATCCTCCTTTTTCATAGTCTCCCCTAAACTAACTCCTTTATTTGTATCCCTAAGAAAAATCACTTAAAATACATAACTCACTCTGATTACACAGGTCTTGGGCTTTTAGTTAAAGAAAATCCAGCCACCACATTACTGGTAATATACCAAAGCATAGTTTTCTTTTTATACTACCCAAACTCAAACTACAGGTGCAAATGGTCCCTTCTAGGGGTAGTTCAGCAAAATGCGTTTTTCTGTCCCAATACTAACTAAACCAACATATTTAGTGGGATTTATCCAAGCATTACTAATCTTGCAAAAAGCAAAAACATAATATCCACTATGGGATAAAATTTCAATGGGGTTTAAGAGCATAGGTCTTAGTTGTTGGTTTACTTATCTTACAACAACTTGGAATGACAAGACTGGATTCTATTTCCCTGCCTTTCATTCCCTGAGCTACACATATGCAGACTCCCACAGAAAGAATAATTTGGGATTAATTTTAAAGCAGGTGTTACAGTAAGCCCCTCTGGTAAAAAAATCGCAACCCTGTGGTGATTTCCTCAAAAATTTGGACTTACTATTTCCCTCCTCTCCCCTCCCCCTTTTTTTTTTTAATACACAAATGGGCACACCTTTTGACAGCTCTGGTGCTGCCCAAAGAAAGATTAGGCTGGGAATAAGTATGTTTCCCAAGTCTCAAACAGCAACTATTGAAGTGGCATTATTTGTGCCAGTCTTGTTCAGTTTTCCCCAAATGACAAGAGACCCATACATACATCATATAGGCTGAAGAAAAGAAAATAAAACAAACACTAGTGGACACAAGCCATGGAATCCTCACAAATGGCTTCTCTTTCTTCTTTTCCTCAAGAAACTTCAGCAAACTAGAGAGAATATGACGAGATTTATGAATGGGATGTCACTTCTGACCCCCATAGCTTAAAAAATGGCTCATTCAGACTCTTCAGATAAATAGCCTGTCAGTCAGTAAACAATTTATGGTGGCATGGAAAGTTGTTCTGTAAAACAAAAACAATTGCCAAGACAAAGACAGCTATACAATCTTGACTGCTGAATACGAAAAACATTAACACTAGCCAACAGTTTGCTGGGGTTCCCCTGAAGAAATGAGTTTTTAGGAATACTGACATGAAGGAGCAAAAGAAATCCTCATGCAGCTATGACAGAATTCAATCAGATGTGGTGAACCTTCCAGGATTAACCCAAGCATAGCAACATATATCAAAATGCACTAACCTGTTTTCTGAGACACTCTTCTCTTCTTGGGACTTGGTTTAAAAACAAAGCAGCCCTAGAGAATAGGAAAAAAAAAAAGAAATACAGACTTTAATATGAGCATCAATCTGACCAGCTCCTCAGGCCAATTCATTGTCCTTCGATTTCAGTGCTCCATTAAAGCTACAATTTGAACTGAACTGCCAGCATCTCTAAGGATAACAGTTTGCATGTGGTCACTTTAGTCCTGTTTCAAGCTAGAAATCTAGTGGAAGCAGTATCCTAACGTATTTGGGAGGAACTTTTTTCACCTTTCCATTATGCTTGTCAATTCAACCGTCAACTAGAACAGCAGCAGAGTATTTAAACATCTCATAACCTCTAACAGGCTTAGAATTAAGGAGGAATGCTTCCCTGAGGACACATCAACAGCGTTTTCTCAGTACCGTTTCATTTTAAAAAAAGAAAAAAAAAAAGGCAAGAGGCTGGGATGCATAGAAAAGGTGACCCAGAGTAATGCAATGAGTTTAATTAAGACACTTACAAAAGCCAATGACATGCCGTAGCCACAGAGGAAAATGCATCCCAAGTAAATACAGTAAAGATGGTTAGGAACAGAATGACATGGTTTGGAAAAGGTTCAGATAAATACAACCCCTGGCTCCAGGGAACTTCTCCAGACAGAAGACATTTCCCAGTTAGATCAGTTTCATCACAAAGGAGAAGGAAATAAAACACAAATGACTTTGAATTCTGGATGATTTTTTAATTTTTCCTCTGGAAAATCCAAAACGGCTTCCCTCATCCTCTCAACTAAAAACTCATCTCTTCTGAAGTGTTATAATCATTTCCTATGGATCAGAAATCATATGCACTCCCCAACTCTCGCTGTGAGGTTCTTGTGCTACTGCAACGGGGGAGGAAACACACGAGTGTTCAAGATTGATAAACGGACTGATTCCATCCTGTATTTCTCAGTGGAGAGGCTTATGTAAGCAAAGATTAACTAAGCTCAACCCAGGATAGTTCAGCAGTCAGTAAGAGCGATCTAGTGCAAATAAGACTCCAGAGGTTATGTTCAATTTCGATCACAGGCAGCAGACTGTCAGGTGACTGTGGACACATTACTTCCCTTCCGATACAAATGAGAAATCACAGTAAAACACTGCTAACGATATCGGCCTCCTCTAAAGAACAGCTTTATGAATTGGAGATGCTTTCAGATAGTCTCCATTTTAACCACACATATTAGCAACCATCTAAAACCCACCTGACAAAAGTTGTGGTTGTTCTACAGATCCTGAACACCCTGGAACAATTCCACTACAAGGTATGCTACGTTACGCACGGTATATCAGAACAATAATTACAAGAGCACAACTGGAATTGGCCAAAAAAGCTATAAATCATAGACATAAAAGAAGAAACAACATATGCTTAAGTCAAGTGAAAACAAATGTTATTTAATGTTTTACAACCACTGCATTTCCCTATTAAAGCCGATCTGAATATTAATAGCAAAGAAGTACTGCATACATGAGACACAAGGGGACACACCTTTCATTACCTAACTACTTGATGGCAAGTCATTTTTGAAAGGAAAATCCACCTGTTTTACATTAAGTTTTAACTTTGTTTGGTAGTACTTCCCATTACTCGTAGAAATAACAACCCACAGTGATTTACACACCGAAGGATCCAGATCTGAATATTAATAGCAAAGAAGTACTGCATACATGAGACACAAGGGGACACACCTTTCATTACCTAACTACTTGATGGCAAGTCATTTTTGAAAGGAAAATCCACCTGTTTTACATTAAGTTTTAACTTTGTTTGGTAGTACTTCCCATTACTCGTAGAAATAACAACCCACAGTGATTTACACACCGAAGGATCCAGCTGCATATCACAATTCAGTGACAAATGGTACAAGGGAAAGGAGTCTTCCAATGACAAAACACATCCCTTTATTCGATGACCCAGTGCTATCGTTCACTATACGATCAGGCAAGACAAGAAGCCAGTGAAATGTTCCAATAAAATATTTTAAGTTGTTACATATTGACTGATAAACACACTATTCCTACTACCAACCCTCACTATAGGCCAGATAAAAGCTTTCAGCTCAGAAATCACACAATCACAGAATGGTTTGGGTTGGAAGGGCCCTTAAAGCCCATCTAGTTCCACCCCCCCTGCCATGGGCAGGGCCACCTTCCACTAGACCAGGGTGCTCAAAGCCTCATCCAGCCTGGCCTTGAACACTTCCAGGGATGAGGCATCCACAGCTTCTCTGGGCAACCTGTGCCAGTGCTTCAACACACTCTCCGGGAAGAACTTCTTCCTGCTAGCTAATCTAAACCCCCCCACTTCCAATTTAACCCCATTACCCCTTGTGCTGTCACTACAGGCCCTTGTAAAA